TTGAAAACATGATTAGGCTTGGCAGAATCTTCAAAACCCTTTGGCTGTTCAACATATGCTTCCTCATTTAAAACCCCATTCAGAAATGCACTTTTAATATCCATCTGATACAGTTTGATTTTAAGAAAGCAGGCTATAGCAAGAAGTAATCTAATAGATTCAATTCTAGCTACTGGAGCAAAAGTCTCATCAAAGTCTATACCCTCAATTTGAGTGTATCCTTGTGCTACTAACCTAGCCTTATTTCTAACAACTGTACCTTTTTCATCAGTTTTGTTTTTGAAGATCCACTTAGTCCCTATCACATTTACATGGCTTGGTCTGGGAACTAAGTACCACACATCGTTTCTGATGAATTGATTCAACTCTTCATGCATTGCATTTACCCAGAATTCATCCTTCAGAGCTTCTGCAATATTCCTTGGTTCCACTGAAGACACAAAACAAGTGGTTCCAGTTAGTGCACATTCAAAAGATAAATTAGCAAATCTTACCATATCTCTGTAGTTCACTCTCTCTTTTCTTCTGGTTCTTATTCCACCAAAGATATCACCCACTACTTGAGTTGATGGGTGATTTTTCTGGATTCTGCTTGATGGTTCCTTTCTGCAGACATCTAGGGTTGGTTGCAACTCAGTCTCTGTAGGATGTGTTGAGTCAGATGTGGTGACACTTGGCTCAGCACCTTCTTCTCTTGAGACTGGACTGTTTGTGTCTGGGCTTTCTGTGGCAAAAGTGTATTCTTCTGTTGTTTCCCTTTCAGCAATCAAGTCATCAACTTCATCTTCAGCTGTTTTACTGCGGAGATCAGCAAAGTCATCAAATACCACATTTACAGATTCAATAATGGTTCGAGTTCTTAGATTGTATACTCTATAAGCATGACTGTTATTAGAGTATCCCATAAACAAGCTCAAATCACTTTTTGAATCAAATTTAGCTAGATGATCTCTATCATTTAGAACATAGTTTCTTACCATAAAGAATTTCATATGAAGTCATCATAGATCCTAATCTTAGATACACACGGTTTGAGATGTGACAGGCTGTGTTGACAGCCTCAGCCCAAAACCTTTTAGACAAATTTTTTGCACTCATCATCACCCTAGCCATTTCCTGAATAGTTCTGTTTTTCCTTTCAGCAATGCCATTTTGCTGAGGAGTTTTTGGAGCAGAAAATTCATGCTTTATTCCCTTTTTATTACAAAAAGCAAAAAATAAAGCATTCTCAAATTCTTTTCCATGATCAGATCTTATCCTACGAACAGAAACTTGAAATTGATTTCTAACAAACCTGTACAAATTTTTGAATACTTCAAAGGTGTCTGATTTTTCTCTCAAAAAATACACCCAAGTATATCTTGAAAAATCATCAACACATACAAAGACATATTTTTTACCACCTAGACTTTCTACCTCTATAGGACCCATAAGATCCATATGTACAAGTTCAAAACAAATAGTGGTACCAACGTGTTGCAACACTTTGTGTGGTACTCTGGTTTGCTTTCCCTTCTGACACATTCCACATATAGGAATATCCTTGATCTTGAGATCTGGTACTCCTCTTATGGCATTGTACTTGTTGAGCAGCTTCAGATTCTTGAAGTTTGTATGTCCTAGTTTCTGGTGCCACAGCTCTACTTCACTTACTCTTGAACTCTTGCATGAGATGGTGTCACCTGTTTGATAGCAATTATCCATTGATCTGGAACCTGTAAGTACACAATGATTTTGATTATCAAACACAGAACAACAGTATTTATCAAATTCTACACGTAGATCATCATCACACAATTGACTGATACTGATGAGATTTGACCCCAATCCTTCAACATGTAAAACATTTGAGAGTTTTGGAAGCCCCTCAATACTGAGTGTTCCACGTCCAACCACTTTGCCTTTAGCTCCTCCTCCATAGGTTACACGTCCTCCATTAAGTGTGTGGTAGTTTGATAGAAATTCCTTTGTTCCAGTCATGTGCCTAGAGCATCCACTATCAAAGTACCATGAACCTGAAATGTTAGCATTTAAAGAGGTGTATACTGCTTTGCACAAAAATTTACCTTTGGGAGTCCATATTTTACACTCCTTTTTGGTAGATTCTACCTTTTTCTTTGAAGTGTTCCTTGAAGTGTTGTGGCTTATTTTATACAACATTTTGTCACTGCTGAGTTTTTCACAAAATGGACGAATGTGTCCTGGTGAGAAACAGTAATGACAAACATAACCTCTTATTCTGGAATCTGGAGTGGTGACTGTGGACTTCTTGCAATCCTTTCTGTTTGCACCCTTCTCTTTTATAAAGACAATTTCTTTCTTCTTAACTGGCTTCATTTGTTTTTTGAACCCTAGCCCTTCATGTTTGTAGTGCTTTTCCATTGACACAATCTCTTCGAGCTTAGTTGTGCCAGTGTTCATCCTCTTGATTGCTAGAGTTGCCTTTTTGAGTTCTTCTTTCACTTTTGCCAGTTCAAGATCCTTCTTGGTGATTCCAACCTCCAAATGTGTGATTGTTTCTTTGAGGGAGGAATTTTCCTTGTTGGCTGCATCTAGAGCTTGAGTCTTCTTCTCCAAATTTCTGATCAGCTTTTTACACATTTCTTCATCATCACTGACTGCTTCATTACTGGATTCTGCTGCATTCACAGAAATAGAGTTTAAACATGTATATTGATCAGTATTTAACTCACAAATTGAAAGTGTTTCAGAAAGTGTTGCAGCATCCAGGGAGACTCCTTGGGATTCTGTTTTAGTGGAACTTCCAGTAAGATATCTGACAGAAAGAGCTTGTTTAGAGGATTGCTGTTCCTCTGTCTGTTCAGGTTGTTCTTCCTCCTCATCACTGACAGCACAAATCAAACTCATTCCTCTCCTTCTCAAGGTATTTGCACATTCATTAGCATAATGTCCAAATCCTGAACAGGCCCTGCATTTAATATGATCCAAGTTAGGTGGTTCAGAATTTGAACGAATAAAAGAAGAATTTTTTAAATTGTTTTGAGAAGGTGTTTGAGGAAATGTTCTCTGTGGAATAGATCTGTTCCGGGGCTGAGTTTGTCGATTTTGTGGAGACCCTTCTGAGAATAACTGCCTGGGCTTGATTCCACTTCGCCTGAACGCCCTGTTGAATTTCTGAATCTGAAATGCCACATTATTGAGGCATTCTTCTGCATCATCATCATATTCCGGAGCAACATCTTCCTTCTCTAATTCTGCCTGGAGTGCATTTGAGACAGCCTTTCCTTTCTCCTTTCTTTGATCTTCGAAGTTCATCTCTCTGGACTTGAGACTTCCTATTAATTCGTCTAGCCGTAGAGATGATGTATCTTTAGCCTCCTCAATAGCAGTAACCGTCATGCTGAACCTTTCTGGAAGAGTTCTCAATACCTTATTCACTAGTGTCTCGTTGCTCAAAGGACCACCTAAGGATTGAAATTCATTAGCCAAGTCAATCAGCTTCTCATTGTACTGAGAAATTGTTTCAGTTTCCTCCATTCTCAGTCTCTCAAATTTGGAAGAGAGTAATCTGAGCTTGGTTCTTTTGACACTATCTGATCCCTCACAATGTAGCTGAAGAATTTCCCAAGCATCCTTTGCAGAAGTGCATACAGAGATTAATTTAAACATTGTTAAATCTACTGAATTGAAAATTGCATTTAACGCCTTTGAGTTTTGGTTAGCATTTGATAGATCATCTGGTGTCCACCGTAATTCTGGAGTTGGAAAAACATCTCCGTCCACATCTGTGATAGTTGGTGGCTTCCATCCAGTGAGGATAGATCTCCATGCTCTCTCATCAATGGCTTTGATGTACGCCCTCATCTTGACTTTCCAGTAGGTGTAGTTCGTGCCATCAAGTACAGGAGGTCGCATAGAAGCAGTCATCTGAGTATCCATCACGAATTCGTTTCTGTAAAGAAAATAGGAACAAACACTTAGTATACGTCAAGTGTTGGCTCTTGATGCCAATTGAAAGAATTTATGGTCCCGAATTCGTTTAATACAGAGGTGTTGTTGAAGGTGTTATGACACTTGAACAAACATGCAGCGGAAATATAAAGACAAAAGAACAATACTCAGAATTAAAAATGTTCACAAGTAAAGACTTGTGAACTTGCCCTTTACAGGACGGAAAATATATTAAAATCAGTATTCCAAGAATACAAACAGAAGAGTGCGAAAACTTCTTCCTTATGAGTGAATCTTTTTCAAGATCACTCTTACAACCAAATCTAGATACTAAAAGAAAGATATCAAAAATTCTAGATTTCAAAGAATGTACTTATAAATAGTACGTACAACAGATCCTAGAAAACACACTAAAATTCTCGAGATTTAAACTTCAGCTCTAATTTTTATTTTCTCGAAATCTATAATAATCTTGAGTCTTGAGTTTGGTATTTATAGACTTGCCAAGCTTCCACTCTTCAGCCCATGATCTGCAAGAAAACCAACCACAAGAGCACTCAAGATAATGGGTTAGTGGGTTAGTTTGGAAGTTAAGATAAATTCCATAATTAAATCCACTAAGCATTACTTAACCCTACTAAGCCCACTAACTAAGATTTAGTTTAGAAATTAAGAAAAGTTAAAAACACATTGTGAAATTAATTCACGTGTTTCAGGTCTGTTTAGTGGTCTCGTCGAAATGCCTTTTACATTTTGTCATTTTAGTTTATCGTGTAGTTTATATAGTGAATCGGTGTGTACCGAGTCTGTGGAGAGGGTTGCTTTCGGCAGTTTTACATTTGTTTCGGTTCTGCTATGACAACTTCGTTCGACTATGAAGCAGTTGTTTTTTTTTAAATTTCCGAAGTCTTTAGTTTTGCAGGCTTCTCTTGCTGTGAACTGTGTCCTAGGTGCAACCTTCTTGTTCATGTAATAAGAACCTTTGTTTGTTTTCAACTGTGTTGATGAATAAAAAGGCAGTGTTTTGTTTGTGTAAATTTGTGACAGCAACATCATTAAATACTGCTACACACATTTACAAGGATAGATATCTTGTGTTCATCTGAACATGTAAAAAGTAGAATAACATCCACAAACATCCTTTTACAACAAGAGATCTCGAACCATTTCACAGCAGATATTTCCCCAAAAATCTCACTTCGACTCGGTCGACAATACACATAAATTAAGACAACAAATTCACCACTTTCAGCAAACTTTAAAAAAAGAAGCATTCTAAACCAACCATATTTCGTCGTTGCCTAATGGATAGAAATGACAAGCCAACCTTTAATACACCGCCTTCCTCCATGCTTTCGTTTCTTGATTGAACTTTTACGGCACTGAAGGCCAACTTTTAAGACAGATAGAGAGAGAAAAAATGTACAACCTGTTGCAGTGCGATTCGATTCCAAACTCACACTCGCACCAAACCGGTTTCTTCTTCATTGACTGTGCTTGTCTGAATCCCAGCCTCGGTTTTTTCTGTACCAGCAGCAGCAGATTCAGTAGCTTCATCGTTTGTCTGAATCAAAGAATCTTTTATTTCCTTGGGAGTGGTGATTTTACGAGGGGGAGCTTTCTTCTTTTCATTGGATAAGGTTGTATTCTCAGAAGGCAACTTAGGAAGAGACTTTCTCATCGGCTTTTTAACATGTGCAACAGGTGGTGGTGCTTTGTCAAGGTGGTTATTATGTGATATTTTCTCGTCCAAACTCAGCCTACTTGGACGAGCGATGATAGCATCGCTTTCTTCTGAGTCAGCATTTGGAGAAGTCTTTTTCCGACCAAGCTTGGGAGATTTAGCTCTTGTAGTAGGTATCTAAATTCAACGAAAAAGAATTCAGAATTTTCAATATAATATTTTGTTGCATTCGAGATAGAAATAACATCATTTACCTTCTTTAATTCCACCTTTGGAGGCGGAGGCTCTTGATAGAAAGTCGGCATCGGTGTTGCTTTGAATGCCAAACTCTTTCTGAACATTTTAATCTCGGCTTCCTGTGTTTCCTATAAATACAAACAGAACAAGAATTAACGTGAATATCAAAAGTCAACCGCTTAGAATTTTAGTGCAATAGTATCGTATCGAAAGTCAACCTTCGACTTGGCTTGCATATCATTCTTCTCTGCTTCCTTCGCATGAATCTTTTCCTCGAGTTTCGAATAGAACTGCCAAATATAGATACAGGAATATCTCTCAGCTCTATAATCTTCGTGCAAGTAAAGACCGAAAAAAAAGTCAATATAACAGAATACTCACTTCTCGTCTTTTCTCAGCCCTTTCATTGCATTTAAAACTGAAACCATAAGTCGGAAGATTGCCCAGTTTCCGTTGCTTGGAATCTGCAGAAGTAGGACTTCTACGAAATAATTAAGGATAATAAACCAATAAAAGAGAAATGTATATGTGATGTCATAAACCGTAAAAAGGATACAGAGAAGACTCGGAGGTAACAGACGAGCCTTTCTTAAGGGCCTTCAGTTTTGACTCCTCCCTGTCATCATGAAATAACTTATAGTTAACGTAACCTCCGAGAGTAGTTTATACTGTACAACAAGGATATATCAATAAAACTTCAAAATTAGACAATGGAATATAAAAACGAGCAAGAAACAACATACGGGAGTTCTTCCGGCGAAGCTCCACTCTTTGGAGACGGTGTCTCATCCTGCTGCTTGAGATTATAGAAGAATTATGTCAGGCAGACGATAAGACACTAACAAATTCAATGTTAGAAAAAAATATCATCTATAAGTAATTCGTATATAGATATATCTATCACCTTGGCTTTAGGAATACTATGATTATTTTGGACAGAGGTTACTTTTGGGCTGTCAGCAGCTTGCTTCTCGTTGAACGATTTACTTCTTGTTTTGAGAGCAGAAGTTTTTCCATTTGAAGCAACCGAAGATTTCGACACCTCTTTGCCATCTTTGACCTTGGTCAACCCTGTCGATGCACCTTGTTTGGGAGTTGGAGATTTCCCATTCTTGACCTTGGCTGTAATACCCTTTTGTGGTTTCAAATTTTTAGAATCGCTCGACTCTTTAACAACAATTTCCTATATAACGTGATTCGAAATGTTAACACTCGGGGTTCAAAGAATTTGTCTGAATAAGAAATTTGAAATAATCGACTACCATGGGTGTGGTGTTCGAATGGCTTTCTGGTGGCAAAGAAAGATCTTCTTTGACGGACTGATCGGTCGGCTTCACAGCATCTTCAAGATTAGCACTTAATTCTTCAATGCCCAAACTGCCATTGGAAGCTCCGTTTTCATACTCCACGGCACACTCAGACATGTGAACGATAGTACCGTCAGCAGCCATCATACTTATTCACCTAAAACATAATCATAGTCCAAATCACAAGTCATTCAAACAACATTTTTATTTAAATGTTTCCTTACAAACAAAATCTCAACATTCCCATTCACCTCGAAATTAATTTTTCCGAAAGAAAAGAAACAAAACCCATTTCAGCAAAAACATAGCAAGACATTGCAGATAAAAATCTTGTGCCAAGTAGTAACACAAGCATCAACAGGAGCAGGAACAGGGTATAAACTAATCAGTTCAGAACTTCAGATAATTAAAACCCATTGAAGAAGAATTCAGCAGCAAACACAGAGAGAGAGAGAGAAAAGAAAACGACAAAAAAACGAGGGGAAGAAGAATTGGAGAAGAGCAGCTTAGATCTCTAAAAAATGGTACAAAGATCTCATCTTTACACATTCCAAGATTCAGATTTGAAAACCCATTTGGAATTAGCAAACAGCAGATTACCAAATCCCCAACTCCAGGAAAATGCACGCATTTCAACCCCCGTGTAACTTCATCTCAACAACTATGAATGAAATGTTAATAATAATGCGGTGAATAAAAAAAAAAGGTTACCTTTCAGAGCATTTGGGAGAAGGAATTCAAAAGGCCATAAAATCAGCAAAAGATCTGAGAGATTGTTTAAATGGGTCTGAATGTTGAATGATCTTCAAGTTTTCCAAGTGCTCTCTCTCTCTCTCTCTCTCTCTATCTTTCTCTCTCTCACTCTCTCTCTGGCTTTTGGAAAATAATTTTTGATTTTCTTTTGAGGGGGGTGGGGTAGTTCTTGAAATTGAAAAATTGAATTGAAAGGCTCCTCTCTCTCTCTCTCTCTCTCTCTCTCTCTCTCAGCAGAGACTTATAGTCAAAGGTGTGTAATTTATATATATATATATATGTTGTGGGTTTAGGTTTGTTGTCACAGCGCCATACTTTGTGCCAATAACAAACAAATTAAATAAGAAGCCAGCCAGTCATGTGATTTCTAAATCTTTCTCAATATTTTCTCATCCAATTCCTCACATGCTAACTCTAATTTAATTTACACAATCTTTATCAATTAAATTAATTAAAAAGAAGAAGAAGAAGAAGAAAAAGAACTTATAATAACATCTATCGTCTCCGAAAACAAATGCTCATTTGCTCTATATTTAGTAAAGGAAGCTGCAATATCTATTACCTCATTATATTATCTTCATCAATTATAAAAAAAAAAATTAAAAAAAAAGGGAGAGAATTATTGGAAAAGAAATAATAGAGGAGGAGTGGCAATGGAGATAATTTAAATTGACCAAACTATATATCAATCAAGTGGGATTTGGACTAACTCGACTAATTACGTCCAGTCAAATGTACTTTCGATCGATTCGTGTAATTTAAACCTATATAAATAATTAATTTTGGAATTTTTAAATAAAAAAGAATATATGTTTATATGCAAATGTGTATTATTAGGGAGGATGGTTGATATTCAACAAAGGAACACTGCTTTTTGTGTTGTTAATGTCAAAAAGTTTGGAATTGTATAATAGAAACGATGCTTTCATGCATTTGAGAATCATAAAATTGTCAAGTTGGTCTGAGGAATAATTTTATCTTGGATTATATTAAAAGTCACATTTAACTTTATTATTAAACCTTTCTCATCCAAAAAATTGAAATTGAATTAATTATGAAGAAAAAAAAAACCTTTGCCAATGAAGAAAAACGAGTACATAGTGGGACGAATATGTAATTAATTATTTTTACATATAAACCAATCACATCATCATAGTGCAAAAAAAAAAGGATAACAATTTCACCAGTACTAAAAAGGTTTCTTTTTTTTCTTTTTTTTTGTCTTATTAATCATCTGCCCTGTCCGAACTAATCTTATCTACTACTACTACAGCTATATACTAATTAAAATTCAGAGCTAATTGCAAATACCACCCCTGTGTTATCTCTAATTGTCGAATATCCCCCTGTGAAAAAAAAACTCACTAACACCCCCTCGTGTTAACATTTTCGAAGCACACTGCACCCTTTGTGATTTTAGGCTTTGACTGAAGGTAAAATGACAAAAATGCCCTATAGGGCCCTTTTGGTTCGGTAGTTTGGATAGATAGCTATTGATGGGATATGTAATACTGGGACTAAATTGTTGATTCACAGTGATTAATACTTCCTTTGGTTCGAGTTATACACACGAGACTAATAATCCCTGAGAAAAAAATAACATGTTTTGTTCGGCTGACTTTAGGGATTATTGTGTGTTAATTAGTTAAATTACCGCATTGCCCCTGAAATATCATATTTTATATCATCTTCTTCATCTTCTTTACTTTAGAGAATCTCCCCCTTTTTAAAAAACGTTGTGTACCGATGAATCTCTCTCCATACCAAATTGGGAACTTAGAAAATTAGGGAGCACTGACCCTTCTATTTGTTCGAAACAACACCCGAAAGTAGTAACCATTACGAGTCTTTAAACATGAACACAGCGACAACGAACAACAAAACAAAACAACATTACACCACATAATAAAACTCTAAAAAACAAAACAACGAACACAAACGAGTCTTTAAAACAGTATCGAAAGGGACAAACAAACTTTCAAACATTGTCGGAGTCATTTGCTTCTTCAATGTCGTCACTGAAACTGACGGTTGGTTCGTTACCCTCATTCCCACCCTCTTGATTCGCGTTGTTGTTGTTAGCAACGTTCCCACGACCTTCGTTTCGGATTCGATCATAGAGATCGTCTAAGTAAATCGCATAGTGGGGATCCACAACTTGGGGTGGATTTGGCTGAGGAGCAACAACCTTAGGAGCAACAACTTCATCGTCAGCCACGTCATTACCGATGACGAGCGGAAGCTTTGGATCATATCCCACGAGGCCGCGAAAGTTGACTTCCGGGGCCTGTTTCACGTCAAACACGAAGTGGCAATCTTCGTATAACGGAAACCGGTTGATTCTAAAGGTCCTCTCTTCCTCCGTCTCCTACACATCAATACCATCGAATAATACGATCGAGTATTAATAAAAATTAGAGTAAAAAACAGTTTGCCCCCTAAACTAAGGGCCGATTTGCACTTTACCCCCCAAACAAAAAAAATTTGCACGTTTTTACCTGAACTCGTTAATTCGTTGCACGGTGCCCCCTAAACTCAATTTTCCGGCAATTTTAACCGGAATGTTAAAACATGTGCTTTGCACGTGATATTTTGAGGGGTAAATTTGTCCTTTCACTTGCATCTTTAATATTAACCACAAATAAATATTGAAAAAAAAAAAGAGAAAAAGAAAAAAAAAAAAAAACCAGAAGTCGTCTTCCATCTCCCACCATTCCTGCACACAAAAAAAATCACCCACCTTCCCCGTGATTTTTTTTTTTTGTTTTTCTTTGAGCAATTGAACCAAAAATAGATACCAAATGGAATGGAGTTGAGCCTGATAATATGAGAACAAATGAGAGGATTAGCCATCGGCAAAGTAATTCCGATCCCTTCTTCCATATCCACACGACGAGTACAAACTCCGTCGGCTTTCCACTCGAAGCACTGAATCATTGCAGCTAAGGAAGCCACCGATATTCCAAAAAAAAATTCAAAATTAAAAACCCAAAAACCCAATCCATCCCTAAAACTCTCAAACACTAATTTAAAAAAATTCCAAAATTCTTCGAATGGGGCGATTACGAGGGGTGGGTTCATAAACGGGATCCACATTAAGAACATGGGTTCCACAATCATTAGCAATGGATGAATCAAACGGGTTGTATTTCAAAACGGATTTTACGGCAAACGGGCGGTGGAATTTTTTCCTGGGCCGCAGCAGCTTTGGCGGCGAAAATGGAGGTCTTGCGGCGGGTTTTAGAGGAAATGAACATGGATTAAAGCATGGGTTGGTGGCGATTGAAGCAGGAATGATGAACTGCGTGTGTGTGTGTGTGTGTGTGTGATGTGTGGGCGGAGAGAGAGAGGGGTGGTGGCAGGTGGCGAAGGGAAGAAGACAATATTTTTCTTTTTTGGTTTTTTTTTTGTTTTGTTATTTTTGTTTTGTTTTTTTTTTATTTTTTTATTTTTTTAAAGATTAATTTATATTTAATATACAACATGTAAGTGAATATACGAATTTACCCCTCAGAATCTCAGTGCAAAGCACATGTTTTGACATTCCGGTCAAAATTGCCGGAAAATTGAGTTCAGGGGGCACCGTGCAACGAATTAACGAGTTCAGGTAAAAACGTGCAAAAAAATTTTGTTTGGGGGGTAAAGTGCAAATCGGCCCATAGTTTAGGGGGCAAACTGCTTTTTACTCTAAAAATTATTAAAATTCACAAATTAAGATTTTTACAAACTGAAGAACAGTACAACGAAGGACTGTCATGAAACATAACATTCCATATGCAGAATTCGAAAAGATATGATAAGTCCACATACACTTTCATCTACCAAAAAATGGTAATTACAACATTCATACTAATTCTTCAAAAACTTAACAAGGGTATCCACCGTCGTCCATGAAATCATCCATATGAAATGAAAATCCATCAACAGAAGAGTTAACAGATATATATATATATATATATATATATATATATATATATATATATATATATATATATATATATATATATATATATATATATATATATATATATATATATATATATATATATATATAGCTTGAACAACAACAAAGAAACAATTGGGTATTCTAAGGCTCTGTTGGTGAGGAGTTCTTGCAATAAACAAAGCCCTAAATTTCTCATTTCAAACTCGACGGAATTAAACAAAGATTTAAAATTCAAAGACAAAGAGGAACCTGCCACAATGACGAACACCGGAAAGTGTCAAAACTTCGAACGGAGGTTTCTCGCCGGACCCGTCTTTTTCTTCGATTCTATCTGCCAAAGTACAAACTATTTGTGAGCATTTTAAGAAGTTATTGAACGGATTAAACACTAAAACAAACAACAAATCTAAAAATTGAAAAAGACGGTGTAAGATCTGATTTCTCACCTGGGAGGCTAGGGCTGCATCTGCGAGGGGAAACGGCTGATTATGTGAGTTTATATATCGATTTTTTTCGTAATTTAAGAAATAATGAGGGACATTTTCGTCAATTCACATCGGACAAGAAGTGGGATTGTATAAATGATATACTATCAAGTCAAAATTGGGTGGATAATTAATAATTCAATTGGTTGATTAAAATGGTGGGGCCATTTGTCAAGGACGGCAAATCAACCGAACCAAACATTGTACCCAGGAGTACAATTCATCCCATCCCTGCTAATAATGCAAACCAAAAGAGCCCATAGGGTTTTTCAGCAAATTAATAAAGCATATTATAAATTTATAGATATTATACATTTTTTTTATTTTGTAAATATTAAAAATAAAAAAATTATTTAAACTAGAATAAAATATATAATTTAATATTAAAAGTTTTTATATGTTTTTTTTTTACATTCTATATTAAATAAAGAAAATAAAGAAAAAAAAGAAAAAAAAAAGAAAAAAAAGAGCAGCTTCTTCTCCGGCAAGAAGATCCCCCCTGCCTACCCACCCAACTCACAGACCACGGCTCACAGGCAACATCACTCATCGACCATTTGTCCATCCGGCCGCCGCTTCTGCTCTGGCACTGTTCACCACCATCTCACCCCTCCACCACCACCACCATCTTCTCCAAATCCGCCGCCCACAATCTCCTATTTTGACGGTGGTGGCGGCGATAAGGCGAGCAAGAGAAGAGAAAAGAGCAAAAAGATGCAATTTTTGGACCTAGCAGGTTCGGCCGTCAAACTCGTCGCCGTCGAGAGAAATCATTTGGAGATGTTGTAGAGAGCTCCATTACGTCGTACGATATATCGATCCGGATTGAGGACTCCAAGCTAGCATTCCGGACCACAGATCCTTGGCCCGAAGATTCACGCAATTCCCCCGTCCATCGATTGATCGCCGTTGCTGTATTTGGGGCTGTGGTTAGTCTCGCGTCTGATATGTGGATTGCAGAAGAGGAGGTGATGGTGTTGAACTTGGGGTTGGGGTTGGGGTTTGGGGGGTTGGATCGGGAAGAAGACGATGAATTTTTTTTCTTTTTTTCTTTTTTTTTTTTTTTAATTACATAATATCTGTCACATTATTATTTTGATTCTGAAAATTACAATTTGGTCCTATAAATTTAGGTTATTCATAATTTAACCAACAAGGTTATTTTTTATTTTATAAAGGGGTATTTAAGACATTTCACCCTCAAAATACTATTAAAAATCGCACAATCCGCGAGTGAGTGACACGATTTGCCTCTAGGGGTCTCGATGCTCTGACTTTGATAACACAAGGGGGTGTTGGTGAGTTTTTTTTTCATAGGGGGGTATTTGACAATTAGAGATAACACAAGGGTGGTATTTGCAATTAGCTCCAGAATATAACATATGTCGTCGGTTGAAAACAAATTATAATTTTCACCAAATTATAATTTTCAACTGTGTTATAATTTTCACCAAATTTCAGGCCGTGTGGTCCTCATGGAAATTGTAGTAAAAAAAATAGTTGCCCAGAAAAGAGGGGATAAGCAGGACCCATGGATTACTACAGCAGCTTGCTTAAAAATGGAAGGTGAAGAAGATGACCTTCTAACTTCCTAATTTTATATATATATATAACCAAACAAACATACGACAAACTCCAAATTATAAATACTACATGCATGATATATCAAACTTTCTTTTTATTTATTTTCTGTTATTAATTAATTAATGTACATTCATCTAATTATCATTTTATAACTTTCATATTATATATGTGATGACATACCATTATATATACTGGTTTCAAGCAATCACTGAGATAAGATGTACTCCACTTTGCAACCAGTGTTGTTCACAAGCTTGATATAGACATTCTTAAAATCTTCGACAAAAATATTTTCATCTTCGGCGTACTTTGTGAAGATCCACCTGTTCCATCACGAACAAATGAAAAACTAAAAATATCCAAAAAATTAGACGCGGAATTTGTATTAAATTGAGTTTATGAAATAATTAGACGCGCGCGGAATCATCTAATCCAATCCAAATTACTAAAAACTAAGAAAAAGAACGGCAAAAGAATTAGCCATTTACGTTCTAATGCATTGATCCTTAATTCCCAGTTGAAGGTTCACAAAACATGTTACGGTAAGTCTTTGACCGCCGGCAATATTTTTCTGAAAGTCTAGGAAGAACGCTGCCTGCAACGGAGCAGCAACTGATCGACGGCGGCAGGGCTCCTCATCTTCAATAGAGCCGGGGAACGCTTGGCGGTTAGTTTCTCCTGACCCTTATTACTCATTAGTTCAGTCAAAATTTTCTCAATTTTTTTTTATGTAGCTGAAATAACTGAATAGGTAGGAAGGTTCAAATGTAACCAGGAATACATTGTCAAAAATAAATACCTGATTCCTTTCTATTTCTAGAAAAATATAATAAAAAATAGTGTCATTTGTTTATTAATTTAAGCCAATGACACTGGAAGAATACAAGTAAAACTGAAGATGATGCTAAAACAACTCAAAACTCTGTGATATACAGATCAAGAATACAAAAGTACAGACACAGCATCTATTTTCCATTACAAAATTTCTACTATCAACCTAACCGATTTACAGACAACCCACAATAATATATATATAACATAACACAAACACCCCCCAAAAGCAAGTGTTATCTAGGACCAGAAAGACGAACTGCAGATAGATAAGTATCGCTATTACAATCCGATGGTCCAGATGAAGTCCCCTCCTCACTGATCGACTTGAAGAAACTCGAGTAAAGGCGGGACCCGATCTGAGAAGCTGTCGGAGGTGGTGGCACCACACTCAGCCCTTCCAGCATTTGCACCACCTTAGTCATCGGCGGACGTAGATACATATCGTCCTGTATGCACCACAAAGCAACTTTGATTGCTATATCAACTCTTTCATCTTCTTCTTCTATCTTCATCTTCGCATCAATAATCTCCTTCACTTTCCCCTCCTCTAACATCTTGAACGCATACGAAGGAAAATGTGATTTTTCGGAATTAAGGGCAGCATCGTAATTTTTCCGACCCCCGATTAGTTCTAGAAGCACCATTCCGTAGCTGTAAACGTCGCTCTTCTCCGATATTGCGTAGTTTGTTATCCACTCGGGTGCAAGGTATCCTCTCGTACCTCTCATAGTTGTAAAAACATGGCTTTGCTCTCTAGTCATGAGCTTAGCAAGGCCAAAATCAGAAACTTTCGCCATAAAATGATCGTCAAGAAGGACGTTTTCGGGTTTTATATCGCAATGGACTATCTTAACATCGCAATCCTCGTGCAGATAAGCCAGCCCTTTTGCGGTCCCCACTGCAATAGTGTACCTCGTATCCCAATCCAACATGAACTCTTCTCCTTTGTCTTTCTTGAAAAGCCATTTGTCTAACGAACCATTCCCCATGTACTCGTACACAAGAAGGCGGTGGCTCCCTTCTGCGCAGAAGCCTTTGAGTCTCACGAGGTGGAGGTGGTGTATGCTACCTATGATGCTCACCTCCGCGCGGAATTCTTTCTTGCCTTGTCCGATACCCTCCAATTGTTTAACGGCTATACGGGTTCCGTCTGGGAGGGCGCCCTCATAAACCGAACCGAACCCTCCTTGTCCGAGTTTCACTACAAAGTTGTTCGTTGCTGTCTGAAGATTTTTGTACGTGAAACGGACCGGCATTCCAGATAAACCTTCCAAGAAGTTATCCTCCTCGGAACTCTCTTTAGGACTTTCCGGAACCTTCTTGCTCTTCCGGTAGAAATAAAATCCGGCGAAAAGCAGACACGATATAACGATAACTGTCACAACGACGATTATGATGACTATCGTGAAATGTTTATTGCCGCCACTTCCACCACCACCGGCGACAGCGGCGGTGGAGGAGATTTTGAAATAGGAAGTGAAGCCAGCCCCGTTGTCTACGGAACCTTGCATGCTTCCTATTTCATTAAACATAAAGCACTTTCCCGAACTGCTTTCGAAGAACATAGCACCGCACGAGCAATTCTTAAGGCAGGAATCTTTGCAGCCGTCTAGGGTGGTTTTGGAGAAGGGCTGAACATATCCGAGGGCGACGTAACTCAAACCATCACCTCCACTCACAAGCTCGGCGGAATCTGTTGACTTATTACACGAAGTCAAAGTCAACGACTTGCAAGAAGGAAGTTCGGGTGGACATTGACACTTGTTGCCTGAAGAACAGACATAGTAAGGATCACAAGCTGCGGGGCTGCTGCATTGATCTTCGGGTATTTTCGTTGAGGAGGGATTTGAGGAGCCTCCTTCGAGCATGGTGAAAGTGATGAAGCCGTCATCGCCTAATACAGCTGCCCAAGTTGAGTTTGCATTAGTAGTGCCCTCTGAGAAGATGAACTGCCAAAGTAAGACCTTGTTTGGATCGAAAAATTTCCAAGAATTGGCGGTGAGAATAGCAGAACTGACTTCACCGCCGCCTTTATTGATTGTTCTTCGTCTGTCTCCCCCCATCGACCAATAGGGTTGCGGGGGCTGAAACCCCGCCGAGAGAATCATGTCACCGGATTTAATCCCGAGCGAATAGGTCAAGTTATTCGAGCTAGGATCACTGATTAGTGTCATCCCTTGGGAGAATTCTTGATTTGAGAGAAGGGTATTTGTGGGATTGGTAAAACTTTGCCAAACTATAGTGCCATCATCTTTAACCAGAACAAGATTTCCAGAATCGAGCAATTCCATTGTGGAAACTCCTTTGGTAGCGGTGTCTGTGGACCAAATTGTGGATCCAGCGCTCTCTAGGTAAGCGTTTCCAGTGGCGTCGAAATGAAAGTTGTCTGAATTCCTGATAGGGGAAGCTCTGTTAGCAGCCCAAACAATGGTCGAGCTGCTTCTGTGAAGAACAACAAGCAGAAAGAGAGTGACATCTTTGGTGGTGGTGAAACCGAAAGCGAAATTGGAGGTATTGGATAATAAGAACAACCCATCATTGTCTATCCAGTACATTGGAGATCCTTTGAATCCCGGATCCAATTTTCCGGTGTTTTGCACGCTGGCGGAGGAGTTTTCCGGGGAGAGGAGAATTATCAAACACATGGTGGACATGAAGAAGAAACCCCAATTTCCCATGACCACACATAAATGATTTGATTGATTCAGCTGAAATAGAGATGCCCAGATTGATGAACACCAGATTTTGCCTGTGAGCCAGGAGAGAGAGGAATTCAAGAAATCCCAAAATTGTTAAACTGCAAACAAAGTAAGCAAAACGTTAGAAACTCATCAAAAAACCAACCAAACGCTGTGTGTCTGAAATATGACAGACACAGAGATAATTTTGATGAGAAATTGAGAATGTCAAAAGGGTTATTTCTGTATAGAAGCAAGAAAGTTTGAAGCAATGGATTCAGAGAAATAAATAAAAAAAATAAAAAAATGAGGCACATACATGAGAGAAGTAGAGAGCAACTATACAAAAGTGGCAGGCTGCTGCCAGTCTATATCTATTAAATGGGGCTCCAATTGGCTGAAGAAAAAGAATAAATCTTCCACCAAGGAGGCATTAAATGAAGGAGAGAGAGAGAGAGAGAGAGAGAGAGAGAGAGAGAGAGAGAGAGAGAGAGAGAGAGAGAGAGAGAGAGAGAGATGCATACATTAACATTAACATAGTGGTGGTGGTGGTGGTGGTGGATACATAGTGGTGGTGTGGTAGGTGGCAATCAAGAATTGAATTGAAGACTCGTTTGGCTAAGATTGAACAGAAGAAGAGGAGATGAAGTAATACACACACAAGTAGAAGCTGAGATAGAGAAGTATGAATGAATGAATGAATCTGTTTGTGGTTATGTCAAATTGTTGGAGTAGAGATCTGAGCCTGAGGTGGCCTCATTTACTCTTCTATGGCTTCTTCTGTCACTGAATTAGATTGTGTCCAAAATTACAGATGGCCTTCTTTAATACTATATACTACTACTTGTGTAAGCATTTGTGGGCCATAAATAAATAAATTAAATCCCCCACTTAATTAATTAATTAATTATGCGGCTGGGCTGGTAGATCCATATTTAACTTCATCTACTTATCCATAATTTCTTATTTTTTATAGTGAACATCATTTCATTTCAAAGTTTAATAAGCTTTTTTAAATGTAATAATTTATTTAATATTTATATGATTATATCTCTAACAATATAAATATGGGGTAATGGCAAATAGGCCCATGACAAGGGCACTTAATTAAAAGAGGGACATTCAATTTTTTTGTCTTTCAAATAAATCCACCCCATTCAAACTTATTTGCAAATAAGGAAAAACCCTTTATATATACCAAAATTACCCCCAATTCATTGAAACCCAATTCAACTCCAATTTCATGATTTATACCCAATTTAGCCCAATTTTATAAATTAACCAATTTTAACCCAAATTTCAATTTTTGACCCCAATTTTAACCCTAATTCTTATCAATTCCACCAATTATGCTAACTTCTTAAATATTACACATTTACCCCGGATTTAAATAAATATATCACATTAACCCCCAAAACTTTTTTTTTCAGAAAATAAATTTTTTTTCTGAAATATTTTTTTTCCGGCCAGATTCCGGCGTTGACTTTTTTTTTTTTTTTTGAATTTTTGTTTTCTTGAAATTTTTTTCCGGCCGGTCAACGGCCGTTGACCGCCGGGTCTCCGGCGTTGACTTTTTTTTTTTTTTTGAATTTTTGTTTTCTTGAAATTTTTTCCGGCCGGTCAACGGCCGTTGACCGCCGGGTCTCCGGCGTTGACTTTTTTTTTTTTTTTAATTTTGTTTTTTCTTAAAAAAATATTTTAATTAATTTTACTGTCTTGGCTGCTAAATTACTGTCTCCGGCAGCTATTTAACTGTCGGAGACAGTAATTTAACTGTTAATTGACTGTTTTTTTTTTTTTTTTCTTCAAAAATATTTTTAATTAATATTACTGTATTCGTTGCTAAATTACTGTCTCCAGCAGTTATTTAACTATCGGAGACAGTAATTTAACTGTTAATTGACTTTTTTTATTCTTAAAAAAAATATTTTTAATTAATATTACTGTATTCGTTGCTAAATTACTGTCTCCAGCAGTTATTTAACTGTCGGAGACAGTAATTTAACTGTTAATTGACTTTTTTATTCTTAAAAAAAATATTTTTAATTAATATTACTGTATTCGTTGCTAAATTACTGTCTCCAGCAGTTATTTAACTGTCGGAGACAATAATTTAACTGTTAATTGACTTTTTTTTTATTTTTGTCCTTACAAAAAAATTTATTTTAATTAAATATTACTGTCTTGGATGTTAAATTACTGTCTTCAACAGTAATTTAACTGTCTTAGACAATAATATTAATAATATTACTGTTCG